GAACTTTCAAAGAATCCCAAGCGGGTATGTCTCCCCTAATGAGCTGATGGGGAGTGGTTTTCTCATTACTAGGCTTTGGAGGGCATCAAGCATCTTAGAAAGCAAGGCAAATGACAGGATAATTGTATTTGAGGGGAGAAGTCAAATTTATATTTCTCAGACATTTGAAATGACAGTCCTTTTGGAGTGGGTCACTCTGGGTCACTTGGCTGCTACTTCTCTCTCTAGGTCAGTGTCTTCTGATAAACTTTGAACCTTGAAGCATTTGTCCTCTCTTGTCATCATGAGGGGGATGGTCTCATTCAGCAGCCTTTTATGGGAAAGCAGTGTTGGGAGTTTTCCCTTTCTCTGTATTAGGAGTGCCCTGCCCCTTCCCATACACAGAGTTGTAGTGACCAATCTCAGGCAATCTGAAGGAGAACCAAGGCAGGGGTTGGATTCCTTAGAAGAGCACAGTGGGAAAAGGAAGAGTCTATCTCTCTTTTTGTTCAATTCAGCTTCTATAATAACTGGAGAAGAATATTGAGAATTTAGGACTGGAAAGTATAAGGTCAGCCAGTGACTTCTACAGCAGAAACATACTTTTTCCTGATTTCTACCAAGTGGTCCGACCAAGTCTGTTTCTCTGCTGGAACACCCTGTGGTGGTGAGGTCTCTGTGTGTTATGGGACAACCTGTCTCAATACCGGTGGCATTCTTATTGGAGAGTCACAGCAGTGAGATCAAAAGCAAGGGGCTGCGGGAAGACAGTTTATACTCTAACCCCAGCCTCATCTGCTGACCCTGGAGATCTAGTCTCCACTGTTGTCCACCCCAGTGTATTCCCAGTGAGGGAGGACTGCAAGAACTGTCTATGATTTGTTTCGTGTGTTCTCTGCCCTCCACTTTCCAATTGGCTTTGGTCAATAGGGAGCCCTGGAAGGAAGGAGGACTGAAAACAATTGAGGTCAAAGCATTTTTCCCAAAACCCCTTCCACTGGGCAGCCATGACCACAGAGGTCTCATGTCCTGTCAGGTGACCTTCTTGATGCAGGCTACTCCTTGGGTCCTGGTAACTTCCCCCTTTTTTTTTTCCGGTACCGGGAATCAAACTCACGACCTTGTGTTTGCCAGGCAGGCACTGTACCTCTGAGCTAAATCCCCAGCCCCCGGTAACCTCACTTTTAAATGGTTCCTTCATTAAACTCATTGACTTTGAATATACTATCTTCCTAGGTGGGAACCTGACTGAAACAACCACTATCTGTGTAACTTGGAACAAATTCTTTAATCTTTCTTGGCTTCAGTTTTCTCTATGAATTGAGAGTAACAGTATCTTTAAAATAAGACAAGGTTATGCTTGTAAGTTCTATTATCCACATAGAAAGCACTGGGTAAGTGTTACAGTGATGCTATGACTACTATGAACAGCTCTAGAAAGGCACTTCTTATAGCCTGGGTTAGGTTTTAAGCCAACAGTCAATAGAATGAAGAGGGAAAAAAATTCCTTATGGTCAGATTTCCTTTTTCCAAATTCTGTAAGTTACCTACCAGAGTGCTATACATTGATTGTTTGGTGTGCAATCCTGTGAGTAATTCTTCTCTACCCTGACATTTTGAGACCCCATGAACTTGTGTCCTGTAAGGGTGGTGTGTTCTGTCCTCATATCCAGGCTCTTCCCGCCCACCCCCGCTGCTTAATACTGACTGGGAAACTTGGAGTTGTTCTTGAAGTTTAAAAGGAGACAAGGGGGTCATACTTTAGCTGGGGGGCTAGGCTGCCAAGTGAGCCCTGGATAAATTAAATTCAGTGATGCAGCTGTGCCCATGTGACCAGGAGGACTCCTTAGTGAGCATTTATGAGGTGCCAGACTGACAGCTGTGCACATCCTACTTTTTTTTTTTTTGTAGAACTCAATATCGTACCCAGGGCCTTCACACTGAGCTACCATCCCCAGCCCTTTAAAACATTTTTAAAAAAAATTTTAACACAGGATCTCGCTAAGTCACTAAATTGCTCAGACTGGGTTGAAACTTGGTGTCCTTCTGCCTCAGCCTCTCAGAGTGCTCCTATTATAAGCATTCACCACATTTGGCTACTTCCCATTTATTGTTCTTATGTCAATCCTGAGGCGGCCATTATTATCGCCTCCAGTTTTGAAATGAGAAAGCTAAGAATCTGTGGCTTGTGGGCCAATGTGACAGAGTCTAATACACCACAGGGATAATATTTAAAGCAGTTCAACTGACCCAGAGCTGAGTCTTAATCCACGTAGTGTAACGCAGTACTATGGCTTTCCCACCAAGTTCCCACCTTTGTTCCAAGTCCTACCCAACAGAAGAACAAAGACCTATGTTTTTATAACTGCAAGCATTAGCTGTCTGGAGTGATAGACAAGAACTGGCCTAGAAAGATTTTAATTCCCTGAATTTGAAGACAAGACAAGAGGGTCAGACTTGCACCCTATCTCACCAATCTGCTCCAGTTGCTTCCCTGGGCCCTATTTCTGGATCGGTCTCTAGCTTATTAAACCGCATCTCATCAGTGGTCCCCGACTTTAGCTGCTCAGTGGAATCAATCACCTAGCTTAAATTGAAAACCAGAAAACCTGATCAGGGGCCTCCAGACTGATGGAAACGGAAATCTCTAGAAGTTAACCCGAGCATAGCATTCCTTTTTTCTAAAAGGCCCTCTCTGAATATTTGAATGGGTAGCCAGTGTCGGCAATCACTGCTCCAGTTTGTTTTAAAAATGAATTGTCCTGAATGTTGGCGGGGACCCTCTGGGGCCAAGAAAGAGAACCAGTTTCTTAGCCAGGATTAGATGTGACATAGTCCATGTGATTCAACAGACCTGGTGCCCCAGGGCAGCTGAATACAAATGTCTTTCTGATGTCAGAGGTAATGTCTTAGTGTCTAAGTGCAATCATTTACAGAGAAGGTGATGAGCTGGAATGACTACTCCCTTCTAAGTCAGTATATTCAATTCATCTGGATTTTGTCCCATCCTGAACATGGAAAACATAAGAGTGGTTTTCCACGGGATGCTTAAAAACTGAAAACAACTCCATCCTATTCCTCTTCTCTATCCTTCCCTTAGCCTGTGTCCACACATCTTAGGGTGGCCAGTGAGTGCTAATAAATTGGGCAATTCACCTCTCCAAGGCTGTGTGCAGATACTGGGGGAGTATAATAGTTTGATGGCTTCATTCATTGAGGCTTAATGTAAAGGGAGCACTGGCAACAGCAGTACTGCTGGGGTTCTTCAGCCAGTCCTGGGAGAAGGTCGGTCTTCTTCTTTATCTGTTCCCTCTGCTGAAGCAGAGGACTAACTACTAAACGGTGGATGACAAGAGAATGATAATTTGTGCACCTGGCAACTTTACAGAGCCACCCATATACAGGGTTTAGGAGAGGTTAATGTCAAGTATGATACCAAGGTACAAGAAGCCAGTTTTTCATTTACAAATTATTTTTAAAAAACACAACTCATGACAAGAAATAATTTTTTAGAGGGGGAGTAGCCAAAGTTAAACGCAGAAAGAGGAAAAGGTGGTTAAACTTTTTTCTTTTTTTAAAGAAAATACAAAATTAGAGGGATTCTGGAAGGGTCCTAGGCTGAATGGATGCAGATCTGGTCAACTGAATGGGACACACAGGAAGGAGAGAGGGAAGAAGATGGGGGAAGATGCTTGGACTCAGATTTTGAGGCTTGAGCTGAGATTTAATTTCGATTAAGCATTCTTTTTTTTTCTTTTTTTTTTCTTTTTTCTTATCTCAGCTGTCTGGGCGTCCTTCGTTCTGCCCAAGAAACCATCCTCCAAGAACTCTTTAACTGAACAGTTTTTGAGGTTTACTGAGTGCTACGCTATAGGTTAAAAGCTTTGCCTGTCGCCTGCGTTTCATTAACTTAGGGCAGATGATGTTCCCATTTTGCAGGTGGGAAGAAGTGAAGTTTAGGATATTTGCCCCAGGTTACTTAGCTGGATGGCGATGAAGAATTCAAGGACTAGCATTTAAGCTTCCACGCTGCCCGCCACATCCCACCTCCTAAGGCTCACCCCAGAGCAGGACGAAGGAGCGCCTTCCCCGCCTGGAGGAAGACTGCTGGGACCTCGGTCAGTGCGCGCCCCCAGATGGGTGGAATTCTGAGGATCCGTCCTGGAGGAGCCCAGCACGTCCCAGGCGGCAGGCTCACACTGCCAACTCGTCCAAGGCGCGTTTATATTTCTCCAATCTTCTCACAAGCGCCTGTTTAATTCTATACACTGGGTGATTTTGCTTCCAATTGTTCAGGGGAGGAGAGTAAGGCTTTGCCTTCTCGGTGGCCACAAGGTCCGCAGGTGGTGGAACTAGAGACGTCTGCTGCGTCCCACGTCCCAGAAATAATAAAAGCTGCACTGAGCTCGTCATTATTATGCAAAGCTGCCCAGGAGGCTCGGACCGTCCCTTGCACGAGCCCATCTGTCTCTGCGCGCCGCCCCCGGGGCTCTGAAGCCGGCAGCGAGCAGAGCCCATTTGGTGAAGGCGCGTCTCCAGCCCCAGCGTCCGCCACCTCCGTGCGCCTTCCGGGCCTGCGCCCCCGGGACTGACCTCAAAAAAAAAAAAAAAAGCCTACTTTGCACCCCTGCCCGCCCCCAGGGAGCTGCATTAATATTAATCTTGATGAATAATTGAGGGCGAGAGATTTATTCGAGCTTCGGCGGGGGAGGGCGTGCGTCTGGCTGCGCGACCTGCGCATTTCGGCCCCGGCTCAGGCTCTGCGGGGCTGGGAGGATGAGGGTGGGTGTGCCGGCCTGTGCGGGTGAGTTTGAGGGTGAGTGCGAACCAGAGCAGATGTGCCAGGGAATGAGGAGGAAGAGGGCCGAGGCAGCTGTCGGATTGGGGACGGAGGGGCATTCCGGGTCTCCGCGCTGTCGCCTGCCCCTCGCCCAGCGCGAGGTGACCCGGGACCACGTGGGTCTGAAGGGAGACAATAGCGACTCCTTAGATCCTGGGCTTCTGCCACGGGCTGCCCAAGCCGTCCCGGACGACCGGCTGGGTCTCTTTTCTTACTTGGCTAATTTACGGCGGAGGCTGCGTGGTGGGGGGAGGGACTGCAGAGGAGGGACCGCGTCTCGAGATGAGGGGCGGGGGAGGCGGTTAAAGGAGTCGCCCGAGGCTGCGGCGCTGGTGATGTCAGCTCTCGACGAAAATAGAGAGGGATCGCCTGCAAATCCCCAGCTCCGGCGGGGCTAAACCTCGCAATCCCTCCCCGGCCGGCGCCGAGCCAGAGCGCAGGGGCCTCCGCCGCCTCCCCGGGCGCGCACACACCCGCACACGCGCGCACGCTCGCAGCACTCCCCCGCTCTCACACTCGCCGTCCTCCCGCGGCCACCCCTCTCGGTGCCCGCCTGCCCCGCAGCAGCAAAGCACAGGTGGCCTCGGCGGCGGCGGCGGCGGCGGCGGCGCACCGTGGGCGTGCGCTCTCCTACAGCCCCGTGGGACAGCGCTCGCTGCGGGAAGCCGCCCTCAGTTTCCCCCAGCGCCTCTCCGAGCGCTACCGCGACGCGCGCAGGGGAACGCGGGGCACGCGCGGTGGAGAGCTGGGACGTGGATTAGCGCCCACAGGAGCCTCCAGCGCCCGTTGAGGCGCTAAAGGGCTTACCCCGGAGGGGGGCGGAAGGGCGGGGAGAGACTACCCCTTAAATACCGCTCCCCGCCGCGCTCTCCAGCTCACCCGGCTCCCGCTCGCTCCCTCGCTCGCCGCTTCCGGACTGTGCCGAAGAGGAGGGGGCGTTCCCCAGACCATGGCATCCGCGGAAGGGTGAGAGGGCTTCTCTGCGAGCCGCGCGCGGGGTGGCCGGCCCCTACCTGGGCTGGGAACGGGGAGGTGTCACGCCGGGCCTCGGGGAGTGGTGGCAGAGCGACAGCTTGGCCGGAGGTGGGATGGAGCTTGCCGCTTAACTCTTTGTGACTGCGAGAGAAAGAGGGTTGTATTAGTTGCAGGGGTAAGGTGTAATGGAGGTGTGAGAAGTGGGAAGAAAAAAAAGCCTCTGGAGGTTATTTTTGTAATTTAAAAACAATAGGGGTTGGCCAGGGTGCGAGTAAACACTGCTCAAGCAAGCTCGACCGGGCTGGGACTTGGGGACCCGCCGGAATGAATGAGCAGGACCAGGGCCGGGGCGGGGCGAGGCGAGGATCGGCGCTCGCGGCCTTGAACCCCAGGTCTGCAGTCGCAGCGGAGGTTCTGGGACCCCTGGGATCCCTCCTTGACCCTGGATGTCGGAATCTCCCTGGCCAGCTCCAAGGCAGGGTGGAAAACATTTGGGTGCTTCCCAGGAGGAGGCGGGAAAACTTGTAGTCTGGGGCAGGCACAGGAATCTCCAGACTCCTCTGGAGTAGCGTTGCCTTCTCTATTTTCTCCACGGGTCTGGAGTTGCCTCTCGCCTTCTGAGCCTATAGCTGGCTTGAACAAAACACCTACTGATAAATAAAGAGGAAGATGGGGCCGCGAGGGGCGCAAGGATCCTGTAAACGCTCACATGTCTAAGGAAGGGTCTCTGGATCAAGCTCTGCTAGAGCTTGAGTGGGAAGAAAATGACTGGTGGGAGAACTCAGCCCGAGAAGCAGAAAATGGCACTAACCACTGCAAAAGACCACTGGATCTATACTGTGTGAGATGTAAATATCAGGGTCTCCTCTGGGATCAAGTGGAGAGTCTTTGGCCCCGGCACTTTCCAGACCCCTGCGCTATGTTTTGTCAACTCCACAGGCCGGTTTGTGGGGGAATGACTCTCTCAGCGGGAGTGAGGAGCTGGTGTGCAAAGCCAGCATCTAGATTCCAACTTACAACAAAGGAAAATAGTTTTAAAGCTGTGGATGTCCGAGGGAAGGAACTCATCCTTTCTGTGTGCCCTGGAGTCCTTCCAGAGAGGTCTGGCATCTGGTCATAATATGAAATTTCCTTTTTCTCTTTGCTCTACAAGCTTAGCAGTGTGGAGCTTTTAAATTATTATTTCTCAAAAATAATTTCAAGGAGGATGTCTATGTAAAAAGGAGGGAGGTGGTATCTTGTGCAAAACAAACATGAAAGCAAAAACCTAGATCTCCAGAATTAAGTATTAAGGATCCATATGGCTTAACATCAGTGCCTCTGTGTTTTATATAAAAGGCTTTCATATTAGAAAGGCTTTTCTGGCTATCTTCAAGGCCTTTGTAAACTTACCTCTACTTGTAAAGGATAGGCTGGGAAACATAAGTGAAAATGACGGATGATGGTCGTCTTTCAAATCCTGCATCCAACTCATTCCCAAATTTGATGGCCGGATAAAGAAGGCAGAAGTTAAGACACCAAAACTGTTCAAAGTGAGTGTGTTTATCCCACCTTTGTCCTCCATGGGAGCTGCTCAATGACTGGACATTAAATATAGAGCAGAAGTAAATTTTAGTGTCTAAGAAAGACATTCAGTAAGTGTCATCTTTGCTCATTGTGCGTTGTTAAGAAAAGATTAACCAAAGAAATTTGCATTTAAAGAGTTTAAGAAAACATCAAGAAAACCTAAGAGGCTAGGAAACACATATAGAAAGACCTAGAATCCATTATTATTTAAGAGCAGTAATTGAACAGCAAAAGACATTCTCGAAGCTCTTTTCTTCCAGGAGCATTTACTGAATCCTTGTTGGGGAGACGATCCATGCCAGGTTTTGGTGGGATGAGGTACAGAGACATAAATAGTCTGGGAGTTGACTTAGAAGCTCCAGTTGAGGACTTCTATTAGTAAATATTTCCTGCAGGCTAGTATTCGTTGGTTAATACCCTTTGGAAAGAAAGATTCACCGAGGATTCCCCAGGATGGTCTCCTTTGCTACCCTTTGTCCTCTAACAATATGAAAGCTTTTTTTTTGGAACATGCATTATAGAGAAGCATACCAGAATAGCCGTATAATTATATGCTTTCAATTTATGTATTTTTATTTTTTGTTTTTTTCCAGTACCGGGAATCGAACTCACGACCTGCGCTTGCCAGGCAGGCACTGTGCCGCTGAGCTAAATCCCCAGCCCCAATTTATGTATTTTTAGTTCAACTGGAACCCAAGAATTTACCAGAGGTTACTATGGTAAACTGACCATTTTGGTTTATGGCATGATGTAGATACCATCAACAATATATGTGGATTACTAGTTTTTGAAGAACTTTTAGAAGCAGCAGTGACATCTTATGCTTGTTTAGCACTTCACTTTCAAAATATTCGTTTGCTTTACCACATTTGTGTTTTGATAACTCTTTGAAATAGACAGTCCAGTGAAAATAGACTTTAAGAATAAGACTATGCAGAATGTAGTATCTTCCCAGGAGGGCTCCAGGACTTGGCTGAGTTGTGGGATTATCTCTGGAAATGTCAGGTATCACCAAAGAGTGTGCTGGGCATAGCTGGTGCAGAAGATAACTGGCTTTGTTTCAATAGTTGGTGTACATACCTGCAAGTTGCCTTTTAGAATATTCTTTTTTGTAAAGTGTGTACTTGCTCTTTGCCTTTTGTACAGCATACTCACCATTGTCTGGTGACACTTCAAGTTTCTGCTTATTTGGAACTGAGATTATGAATATCCAATTTCTGTGAAGATCAACAGTGTCTCTTTGGTAGTTTCCACATGTCAAGAAGTGTTTTCTTGTAAAGCAAGGTCTAATTTGATGGCTGAACATTCCTTTTTCTGTGTCTCCTGTTGCAGATAGATTTACTGAGATGGCTTTTGTGTTGTTGACCCAAATTGGAAAGAGATTATAAGTAGTGGGTGGTGGATAGACTAGTGTCTGTTATAGAGTGGGTCACAGTGGAGTGTCCAGATACCAAAGAAGCAAGCATTTTAGAAACACATTTTCAGGAGTGAGGGACAGCAGGGTCACTACAGTATTTCAGATTCAAGGAGATCTGTTTTGTGATTACCTGCTAGGAGCTAAGGTGCCAGGGTGAAGAAAGCCAATCACTAGGGCGTGGGTTTCAGTTTGATTTAGAAAGTGAATGATACAGAAAACTGTAGATAGCTAAAAACCCTGGGGAAGGAGACCCCTGAATCTATTATTTCAAGCAAAGGAAAGCAAATGATAACACTGGCCTCCTTTCTTTGGGCAGTGAAGTTGGGGGTCAGCTGGAAGAAGGACCTGTGGAGTGGATTTACTGAGAAGTGAGTGGAAGGCTTGGGTTTGGGCTCTAGAAGGATTTGCATAGTGTGTGCCCCAGGTTTTGCTGGAATTTCACTTCTTACTTTCTAGAATGTAGACATTGCCCCCCTTGGGTAAAATGGCTATTAGTGGAACTGTGAGAAAACCATTTCATGTTTACTGAGACAGTCTCTTGTGAGCAACTGAAAGCTTAATTCTCAAGAAATGGTTTCTCAATCCAAATGAAACCTGTAAAGTGGAAGCACTAGATGATTAGAAATCAAAAACGAGTCTGTGCACCAGTAGCATCGGTGATGACTTCCTTTCCCCTTTTGGGAGACGTAATTGGGCTTCCTCTCCTTGGGCTTTGTCTTTAAGGGATGTGTCAGACGAGGAAACGTCCTTAAAAGATGATGCGTTGGCTCCCAAAGCAAGGTCTATCAAGCAGCTCAGTGTGAGCTTTCTGGATCAGTGCGCCATAAATCCCACACTTCCAGAATTGCAAAGCTTTTTCTCCCTGTGACACTCAACATAGGTTGATTTCAAAGAAAATCTCCTCTCCACCTTCCCCCGTGGCTGTATCGCACAATGCCCACGTGTCTGGCTTTCCTCCTTTCAAAGGTAAACTAAACTGTTTTCTGTATTGAATCTTTCCCTCATTGTGCTGCTTGCCTCTCAGAATGAACTGACTCTCCACTTCATTTTGATGACCTGCGATAATTATTTTAATCTAAAAGAACATTAGCAGTAGAAGGCAGGAGTACCATTCTCAAGATAAAATTTTAGTTCTGTTTTCATTTTAAGAACTTGTCCTCACAGTCTGAAAAAAATCTAACAAACGCCTGACGTCGCCGCGCTTATAGCCCTCACTTGCGTGCCCCTGACAGGCTTGCTGGAGGCGGTCGGGATGCTTCATAGAAAGGGCTTTAGAATCCAGATTATGGCAAATCTCTTTATTTTCCAGGATTGTGAGCTTACTCTCTCCGCCCTCTGCCCACCCCTCACCCCATAATGCTCCAAGTGCCAAGTCCTTGGAGTGAATTAATTAAGGGAGTGCTTAAAAATATCTCATTGCTCTATCTCCACGTGCCCCATCATTGATTGGAGGCAGATGGGCTGCATATTTGTTAGTAGAAAGAAAAGGACTGGCATCTCATTATAAACCTGTCAGTTGTCTTTAAATAATGGCAGACAAGACAATGTACCAGCAGTATTCGTGGACAATGAAGGGTAGATTCTTCAACTTTTAAAGAGAATACCTCTTTTCCTTAGTGCTTTGTTTTGTTTTAAACAGGTGATTTCTCAACAGTGTTGATATTTACTTATTTCTCTTTCATTCATCTACTGACATCTCACTCAGACAAGCAGATATACCGCTGTCTGCTGCACTGCTGGCTGGTGATTATGGCAGTCTTAGCAGCTGCTTCGGATTATAGACTCACTGAGCAGTGACGGTGCTTTGAAAATGGAATGAAGGGAATGAACTCCGTTTTGGCAGCTAGACCTGCTCTGTATCCATCCCAGTCCCCTCTAGGATGGGTCCTGGTAGACCAGACAGTGAAGTCCTTGAATGAAGTCTTTAGGGACGAAGGTGGAGACTTTGTCCCTATGCTCCCTTGTATATTAAAGGCTTCATTTAAATTGCGGAGAGTACTTCTATTAC